TGAGACTTTTATGTTCAATTAACCACAAAAAAGCCAGAAGTGGAGTTGTGGCTCAAGGGGCAGAGTGTAGCCTTGGGTGAAAATCTGAGGGATACAGCCCTAGGTTCCCCTCCCCCCCTTCCTCCTCGCAAATCATTCTATCCTTAGCTTCAAAAATTATGACCATCTTAAATCATGTTATTCTTTCTGTGAGTGGATGTAGTTTTTCATTTTGTACTCAGCATATAATGTTGTGTATTATTTTCATTTGGCATTACTTATGACCATTTCCCTGTGTTGACAATCTTCTCAATTAGACTTTGAAAAGTCTAATAGATTGTAATGTCTAATTGACTTCATTCTGTTCTAAGAAAATATGTGCTGTTTAGTTAACTGACTTCATAGAATATTTAGGTTGCATGTCATATTTTTTCTGTTTTAACTAATCCTACAGTCACTTGTAGTTTTAGCCTAGAATCAACCATCTTTAAAGTCTAGAAAACTATGAGATAGATGTAGCTGGTATTTGATTTTTCAGTGACGAGACAGAAGGGCCAAATTTTCTTAAAGTCGGACTTGGAGTTGTGCAGGCTGCTTTGTGGAGAGACAGAGAGCCATTTTATCTGGGCTGTACAGTTGGAAAGAGCTGAGCCAAGATGGTAGGCTGTGCTAACTCCTATGTTAGGGGCAAGCTGGGTTTCTTTTTCCTAGGATTTCAGTCAATACTTTTAGTGCTGCAAGTAGGGGACAATACTTAAGTACGAGGCATTTCTTTGGCTCCCTTTATTTGAATAGCCTAAAGAAATTCTCAATAATTTTGTAATATTGTAATGTTGAATTTGTAATATTGAAACTCGACATCATCTTAAATTTTATTTGATGGCATCAGAGTGTCATAGACTTGACCTTCCTTGTGACTAAAGATCTCTTCCTCCCATCCTGCTCTTAGTAGACGCTTAGGTCTCAGCTTAGCTGAAGGTGAGACAGAGGATGAAAGTGAGCTGACATAGGAGTGGAAATAGGTCTGAAGAGGGAAGACAGCAGGAAGCTAGCTCTTGATAGAGAGGCAGGAACCCTCTGGCTTGGTGTGACTCGGTTCATAGTAAGGTGGCTTTCTTTCTCTGCTTCTTCTTTAGCTTAACTGGCCTGCTGCAAAGAGAAAAGCAGAGGCTGGAGGAGCAGAGGAGAGAGGGAGCCTAGAGCAGGCTATACCTGATTTAAAAACATAGTGCTTCAGCAGATTATTTTCATTCCTTCTCCATGCCTCTCTAGCTTTCTGGAACAAATGACTTCTAGTCTTTCTTCATGTCACCTCACCTCTCCAAGTTGGCAGCTGTGCTTGTCTGAGCTTGTCTGATGGTGTGTCCTTTCTCCTTTGAGAACTTCTAGATTGTCTAAGGCTGGTCTGATGTCTTAACTACTTTTCATAGTGGTTTCTGGGGTAGAAAAAAAGCTTCAGTTGCCTGGATCCCAGTGAAGCTTCGCTGGCTTTTTCTCCCCGAGACCTTGGGACCTTGAGTCAAAAAGCCTTTGTCAAAAAATCCCCTGAGGGCTGGGAAGGTGGCTCAGTGGTAGAGCACTTGCCTTGCATGCCTGAGGCCCTGGGTTCCATTCCTCAGCACCACATAAGCAAAAAGAAAAAAAGCCGGAAGTGGTGCTATGGCTCAAGTGGTAGAGCGCTAGCCTTGAGCTGAAGAGCTGAGGGACAGCGCCCAGGCCCAGAGTTCAGGCCCCACGACCGGACCCAAAAACAAAACAAAATAAAAAAATCCCCTGAATTCTTTCCCTTTCACTGGTCCAATGCACCTTTGAGTTTCCCTCTAGAATCCAAGGAGAAGAATAAAAAAGGTGAGAAGCAATCTGGAGATTTCTGGAGTGGGAGGAAAAGCAGGCATTCCTAGAGGATGGTCCCTGGGGAATGGGCAGGCTTTGGATGATTCTGTCATCACTGTCACTGTCAGAAACCTTGGGACTAGAATTTCCTCCTTTCTCTTCAGAATCTCCTCTTTGTTTCTTCAGCATCTTCTCCCAGACGGAACCAGTATTAGTAGTCATAGTCTCTGTCTGTCTCTGTCTCTGTCTGTCTCTGTCTGTGTCTGTCTGTCTCTGTCTCTCTGTCTCTCTCTTCTCTGTCTCTGTCTCTGTCCTTCTCTCTGTCTCTGTCTTTCTTTCTGGGAATGGCTTCTTTTCTTCTAACACCTCTTAAAAGATCAATTTCAGGATAAATCTACAGCCAAAGGTTTTTACCTATGATAGTGTGAATCGTCCTTGAGTTCCCCCCTTCTTTTTCTTGTGTGTGTGTGTGTGTGTGTGTGTGTGTGTGTGTGTATACAAACTTTCTTATAAAAATGAACTTACCCAATAATACAACCACTCCACTGTTGGGTATTTACCCAAGAGAAATGAGAACATTTTCCGGCAGCTTTATTTATAACACTGAAAATAAACCAAATGTTCACCAACAGGAAAATGGATAAACAGATTTTAACACATCTATATATTGAATTCTAGTCTGCTGAGAAGTAGGAAAATACCAACAACAAACTACTGATCCATGCAGCAACATGGACATTCTCAAAAACTTCATGCTAACTCAGGCTCATGTCTGTGATCCTAGCTATTCACAACATAGATAGGAAGATTTTGACTTGAGGCTAGCCTGGGCAGAAAGCTAATGGGATTCTACTTCAAAACAACAACAACAAAAAAAAAACAAGACAGATCAAGAATGACAAGTATTGCCAAGTGCCAGTGGCTCACACCTATAATCCTAGCTACTTATAAGAGGCTGAGATCTAAGGATCGTGGTTCAGTTCGAAACCAGCTGGGGCAGAAAAGTCCTTGTGAGGCTCATCTCCAGTTAACCACCCAAAAACTGGAAGTGAAGCTATGACTCAGGGTGCTAGCCTTGAGCAAAAAAGCTCAAGGACAGCGCCCAGGCTCTGAGTTTAAGCCCTACAACTACTACCAACAATAACAACAAAAATGAATGACAAGTATCACTCTTTTTTCAGTTGTATGAAATCTACTGCTTAAAAAGGAATGATGGGAATGCTAAATAGCTTCTGTTTGGAGGTGGATAGGAGTGGGAAGAGGAAGGGCAAAAGGACAGGGTATCTGGGGATGAATATGGTCAAAGTTGTTTAGACACAGATATGAGAATAGAACAATGAAACCTGTTGAAATTGGCTAAGAAGTAGAGGAAGAATGCGAAAGCACAGTGCTGGAAAGTGAATTTGATTGGGTACATTGCATGTATTTAGGAAATACCATGATGAAACTTCTTTGTATAACTAATATAAACTAATAAGATATTATGAATAATAATATAAAAATAGAATATATATATATAAATAATAAAATATTATGAATAAGAAATAAAAGCCCCTGGACTTCAAAAATAAAACAAACCAGGTATAGTGATGTGGTGCCTGTAATCTCAGTTATGTGGAAGGTAGAGGTGGCAGATCATAATCTAAAGCCAGCCTCCGGCCAAAGTTAAAAACTAACTCTATTCTACAAAAGAAATAAAGCAAAAGGACTAAAAAAAAATTGTCTTGAATAATAGAGTACTTCTCCTGAGTTCAAACCCCAGAACAGATCACCTTTACAATAAACATTTAACAAACAAAACACAAAATGAAATGGATCCAACCAACCAACCAAGACCAAATTTTTGACGGGGCTAAAGAAGGCAGAGGCAAGAATACATGCTGTCCATTCCATGTTTGTGAAGTTGTAGAATGGCTTGAAAGTACAATGGTAGGAATTAGAGCAGTGATTGCCTTTTGGCCTGGAAGGCATTGTCCAGGAAGGAAGAAGAAAACTTTCTGGGATAGTAGAAGTATTGTGTCTTAACAGAGATTTGGTTAATGCTAGTATGAACATTCGAGAAACTCAACAAACTTATACCTAAGGTCTGTGTCTTTCACTGTCTGCAAATTGTATCTCAAGTTTTAAAAAAGCTTATTGTAGTCTGGGAAAATTGGAATCTCATTACAAGTCACAAATTAGTTCTTACTTTGACTTGTTTTTTTTCTTTGTGATGGTTAGCTTAAAGGGTTTTTGTTTTGTTTTTATTTAAAGCATATTAGCTTGCTTGTCAAGGCACTTTCTGGCTTCAGTCGGCTGACCCATGGCTGTCCAGCTTCCTCTCTGTTTTCCTTCCTCACAGTGCCCTTGTCCTGTCTTGCCCCTACTCATACCTATACCTGTACCAGCTCTAGCCTGGGCTTGCTGACTGACTAGACCTGTAAGGACCAGACCTTTTTGTCTTAAAGCTTCAAGTCACAGCCAGGAGCTGGTGGCTCACGCCTGTAATCCTAGCTACTCAGGAGGCTCAGATCTGAGGATCACGGTTCAAAGCCAGCCTGGCCAGGAAAGTCTATGAGACTCTTATCTCCAATTAACCACTAGAAAACTGGAAGTGGTGCTGTGGCTCAAGCGGTAGAGTGCTCCTTGAGCTGAAGAGCTGAGGGACAGTGCCAGGCCCAGAGTTCAAGCCCCATGACCCAAAAAAACCCAAAAAAACAAAAAAAAACTTCAAGTCACAGTTGCCAAGATCAGCAGGAGTAAGGACTAAGTGGTGTCATGGAGATTATAGAGGTTTTAGATTTGGCCTGACCTCGGGTCCAGTCAGGTCCAGTACTATATGGCCTTGAACCTGCCTGCCTTCCCTCCCCCACCCCACCCCCTGCAATCCTCAGTTTTCCTTTCTGTAAAATGGGAATAGTGGATAGTATGTCTTTTGTAGCAGTTGTTGGAATGAAATGGGCCAGCTTGGGTAGGTTACCCATCCCTGAGCTAAGCACAAAGGGGATCAGGAAATATGGCAGCTGGGGCTTCTGTCTGTCTCTCCTGCAGCCTCTGCATACATACAGATGCTCCCTATGTGTGGGACAGGCCACCTCCTGGCACTCTGGGTACCCTGTTTCCCTTTCCATGCCGGTGTTTTAGGCAGCAGAAGGGGGGAGATCCCAGTAGGAGAAACTAACCTCATGCTATTCTTACTCTGTTGAAAGGGTGTCAGCATGGAAGCCATGACTGAAAATAAAATGGTGTCCTCAGAGTTTAGCACAGGACCTGTGGAAAAAGCTGCCAAACCTTTGCCATTTAAGGATCCCAACTTTGTGGTAAGCATCTAAAGTGTTTTGAAATATATCCAGACAACCACACTTGGCCTTTTGTCAGGCTATTCCTGCGCTGAGGTGGCTCTGGAGACCTCTTCTTTTAACCTGGGCTGCCACCTTCTTTCCATGGGCTATGAAGGGAAGAAGGAGCAGACGGGCCCTCCTGTTGATCTCCCTGTGTGCCAGACCCCAAGGACTTTGGTGTGTCTTGTGGCATTTACTAAAAGGCAGGCCATTCCCATGATGATTCTTCCTGTTCCTTTTTGTTGATCTTAACACATGTATTAGAGGAGGCTTGAAAGTGTTCCTCACTCATTTCTTTAAATAAAGCTGTGGTACTGTTAAGTACAAAAAGGGTACTCTTCTTATCACTGGAAGATTAGAATAAGGTACAGTGACTCAGATTGCACCTTTAGAAGTTTATTGTGTGTGTGTGTGTGTGTGTGTGTGAATGCGTTTGGGGAAAAAAATGTTACCAGTGTCTGTAAATATGTCGGAAGTCTTTTCCATTTTATTTTGTAATCTTCACAGGACACACACACACACAATTAAGCTGTCCAGAAGGTCTGCCAGGATTGAGGCTTACTCAAGTTTTCCAGGATCACTAGTAATTTACTAGGCAGAGAAACTTCCCCACAAGGGACTTGAGAGATGCAGTTGTGAGGGTAAATTTAATTTTGTAAGTCATGGGTGAGTTCTACGCTCAACCCAATAAAGGGTCTGTGCATGTAAAGAAGTAGCTTTTCATTTCTGTTCTGTCATAAGCCCTAACTCATGGGTTTCAACAGTGTGAAAGCCAGGGTTTTGTTGTTTGTTTTTTAAACAAAGATTAAAGTATACTGTGAAATACTTTTTAAGCGACCCCAGCAGTACAAACCATTGCTGATAGAATGCAAGGTACATACCAATCATCATTAAGCATAAATGTCAGGTTTTCAAGTGGTAGCCTCCATTGATTTTTTTTTTCTTCTTCCTTCTAATCCATGCTTTTAATTTGAGCACTCTGGCCATGGTGGCGCGGTAGCTGGCAAGAAGAACAGAACCTGGAAGAACCTGAAACAGATTCTCGCTGCTGAAAGGGCATTGCCGTGGCAACTGAACGATCCTAACTGTGAGCTGTCCAGAGCCTTCCCTGGGTTTATAACTTTCTGAGAACAAACCCACGCTGTTTGATTGTGTTCATGGTATTTGTAGGAAATTGTTTCTAGCTTAAGAATTTTATAGTGCCGTAAAATCCTGGGAAATTATGTACATATTTCCTCTTAACCATCCTCTGTATTGAGTCTGATTGTTTGTGTTGTCATAAGTATGTGGTTTTTAGTTTGTTGTTAACATTTTGGTTTAGGGAAATAGTTCCTAATAGGATAATATTGATGTTTCTATTAGACAAACTTCTTTTTCAAAAGTCTACTCTTAAAATTTATTTCCAAGAACAAGGTAGCTCAGATAGAGAGCCAGACTTAGAAGGATTTCCAACAAGTGGCTTAAAGGCCAGCTCTTTCAGAGTAAATGATTTCTGCTGCAGTAGGTACAAATCTGTGCAAAACCCTGTTACACGTTCTGTCCAACTTCATTGGAAACTACAGGCTCAAAGAGCGCTCTGCCTCCCAACCCTGCTGTGCTTCTTTCCTGAGGGTGACTCAGTGACAAGTACACTAGTCAGTTACCTGGGTGTGGACGTACAGCAAGCCAGATCCAGTTGGTGGGTTATATGGCATTTCCCCACCATCAGCCCACATAGCCTGAGACTGTAAGCATGGTTTGTGGTTACAGGAGCCTAGCAGTTCCCTGGTGACAGGGTGGGGCTATAGCAGAGCCTGCCCTTGGTCTATGACACATAGCACCATTGCTAATACTCCTCCCTTACGAATTCTGTGATAACTATTCACAAAGGAACAATTCAAGAATATTATCAACTGTTGTTTTAGAGAAAGAAGAAAAGAAAGAGCTAGACAGTCTTAAAGCCAGTTACCTGTTTTTTTTCTTCTTCATCTTCGTTTTTTTTCTTCTAGACTTTAGTATTGATGCTCCTCCATCCTTTAAACCAGCCAAGAAGTATTCTGATGTTTCGGGTCTTCTTGTGAGTATGATTGTATCTCTCTGTATGCTAATGTTAGATTGAAAATTTCACAGTAATGCCTATCCAAATAGTGTTTACTATCAGCCACTGACGGTCCTGCCCGGAGCCTGGGCACTGTGCATAGGTGATGGCTTTGTGCACACTGTTTCTGCTGCAGTCTGCAGTGTCCAGGGAGCAGACTGGGAGGAGGATTGCTTTCAGAAAGCAGGAGACATAGTGGCCCTTCCCTTTCCTCTGCCTGTAACTATGTGACACCACACAAGAGAAATAACTTTTTTTATCCGGAAATTTTAAAATACTACATTTAGATAATTGGTTGAACTTGAAAGAAATATTTAGTGTTGTGAATGTAGCTCAGTAAGAGAGCACCTACCTAGTATGCTGGAGGCCCTGGGTTGGATCTCTGTCATCTTAGAAAAGAAAATTAAACCTCTGCATAGAGGTACTGTGATAAAGGCAGTGGCTTTCAGAGTCATTTTTAAACATCAGAACCCCTTTTCCAGATGAAGTGACTTTACAGAATACGCAAACCTAAAAAGGCTGGAAACCTCCGCATTACCACCTGTATGGCTCTTCTGTTCTCTTCCCTGTTCCCAACAGAGTCACTGCTCAAGTGCTTTGCGGGTACATAGCTTGGGAACCACCAGCAGAGCTGGAAGGATGAGATGGGCAAATTGCCGAAGCCAGGTACCAAAGAGAGCCCAGTTTCTTATGTGCAGAATGTAGACTAAGTGTGAGATTTGTAAAGGTTTAATTTTTAGTTTACCTTTTATTATTATTACTTTTGCCAGCCCTGGAGCTTGAACTAAGGGCCTGAGCACTGTCCCTGAGCTTCTCTTGCTCAAGGCTAACGCTATATCACTTGAGCCACAGCAGCACTTATGGCATTTCCTGTTTATGTGGTAAAGAGGAATTGAACCCAGGACTTCATGCATGCTAGGCAAGCACTCTACCACTAAGTCACATTCCCAGCTCTTGAGCCTTTAAAAAAAAAATCTCTTATAAATATGGAAGATGGGCATTTTCTCTCAGCTACAGAAGTAAAGACTCATGTAACTTTTTTTGTGTGTGCCAGTCCTGGAGCTTAAACTCAGGACCTGGGTACTACTGTTCCTGAGAGCTTCTTTTGTTCAAGGATAGTGCTCTACCACTTGAGCCACAATGCCACGTTAAGCTTTTTCTGAGTAGTTTATTGGAGAGATTTCAAATTAGGTTCCTCATATCTCAGCCTCCTGAGTAGCTAGGATTACAGGCACAAGCCACTAGCACACCCGACAGCATGTCACTTTTTAAACTCATATGTACATCATTTAAATGTTTTGCCTATGAATGGAAACATCTGGCTATAGCTTCTGTAATAAACTGATTAAACTAATTATGTACATCATACAAAGAAAGCGTGTTGTGATGTTGTACTTTTGTAATTTGGTCCCCAATCTGACAGTGTTGGGATGACGAGCTTTGAAGAGGTCTTTTGAGCTCTGTTTTCTTAGCCATGTAGTCTTCTACTACGCCTGTCTATTGCTGAAAATATTTGCATGTATTTGACCCATTTGAATGGTTGTTTATAGCAGGGGAACTAGTACTTTCTTATGGCCAAAGTGAACATTTCTGCTTGTGTCAGTTTTAAGTTTGTAGGAAACTGTGATTATGGCCAGACTTGAAGTCTGGTCACCTGGAACATCAGCTCTCTCCTCACTGTTGAAAGCAGCTCCTGCTAATCCAATGGTTTTCACCCTTTAGGAAGCATGAGAACCATTTTGAAAAACATTATTCTAGGTTTCTATGGCCAGAGGGCTTGCCATGGTAGGCATTACCTTGACCCTTATGCCCCAATGCCTTTAAGAATTTACATAGAGCCAGGTGTTGATGGCTCATTCCTGTAATCCTACTTAGGAATCTGTGATCTGAGGACTGCAGTTCTAAGCCAACCTAGGCAGGAAAGTCCATGAGACTCTTACCGCTGATAAACTACTCAGAAAAAGCTGGATGTGGTGCTGTGGCTTAAGTGCTAGAATGCCAGCCTTGAGCCAAAGAAGCCAAGGACAGCATCCAGGCCCTGAGCTCAAACCCCAGGGCTGGCAACAACAACAACAGCAACAACAAAAAGTTTACAAAGAACTCTATCAAATTATTGAAGGACAATCCCACAGAAGAACTAGCAAGGAGGATATAAATAGACAATTAGAAGAGAGGAAAGACAGATGGTAGTAAGTAGGCATTCAGCCTCAATGAGAATGCAGTTAGACTTGTCACACAGGGAAGAAACAGCCCCAACATAAGGAAACGATGCACTCATACCTTGCTTGTTTGAGGTGAGAATGAGTACTGAAACTGCTTTCTCAAAGGACAATTTGGCTCTATATCTTGTGTCAAAGCAAAAGCCAATGACCTGGCAGTTTGCTTGCTGGCAGCTCCTGGACAAATAGGATATACAAGGAGAATCATGCAGAAATGCTTTTGGAAGGCTGTTGGAAGACGTAAAGGCCTGTCACTGGGGACAGTTTCATACTGTTCTGTGAGCTGCACGCTCATGTAACAACATCATGGCCAATTTTCTAAGATATAGTATCAACTGCAGGATTCAGAGCTGTGTAAACAGTCTGCTATTACATAAAAATCATCACATTCACTCAACGAAAACATTATGTAAAGCTGGGCACTAGTGTCTCACGCCTAGAATCCTAGCTAGGCAGGAGGTTGAAATGCTTTAAAGCCAGTCTGGGCAGACAAATCCTTGAGACACTTATCTCCAATAAGTAACCAAAAGCCAGAAGCAGAGGTGTAGCTGAAGTGGTAGGGTGCTACCTTTGAGCAAAAAGTCCAAGTGCAAAGCCCTGAGTGCCAGTACCAAAAAGAAAAAAGACAGTCCCTTTCCCAACATTTCATGATTTCTCTGGGATGTTTATGTGTTGGCAGAAAATCGTGGTAAAGGGGTACTTTAGTCTTATTCATAATGTTTAATTTTTTTTTAAATAGGAGAACACAGTTCAGTCTGTTACTTGTGTAATTTAAAGTCACAACATTACAACACTTGGGCTCACATTACACTGACTCCCCTGTCCTCCACCAGCCATGCATGTATCTGTTTCCCTGGGCTTGGGAAGGCATACACGATCACATCTGTGATTAGTGACAAGGTGATGGGAAGCATTATGGCTCTAGGTGAGTCTAGGGAGCCATGAATACTGCCTGTCACTCTGCTGTAGGAACCCAACATTGCTGAATGCCTGTTTGCTTCAGCTCAGCTCAAGGCTAGAACCCAGAGGAGGGGAGACTAGAAAGGAAGCTCTGCCCTGATTAATTCAGCTTTGGGACGTCATGTGTCATCTTCGTTCCTTCTCTTCAGAATTGTTGGGTGCTGGCCCTTGGATCAGGTTAATCTGCCCCAGGTTTTGTTGGTGACCTTCTTGTTGGTGCTATAGGATCTCCCTTCCACATTGGTTATTCAGCAGCCTTTTTGGCCCTGAGGTCTAGAGTAGACTGCCTGGCTCAGCACAGTTGGTGGTAGGAGTGAAGCAGCCACAGATCAAGCCAGACAGACCGATGATCCAAGCTGGATGCACATGTTTGCAGCCTCCCCTGCCAGCTCTTTCACCTAGCTGCCTCAAGGCCCTGAGCCCGCAAAAGAGACTTGTCATTGTTCTTTTTTTTTTTTTTAAATTGAAGCCTTCCCCTATATTACTGTTATTAAAGGAAATATCTAGATCAAGCCAAAGGATCAAAGCTATACTTTGTACAGAGCTCTAATTAATCTTAGCTTTTGAGGAATAAATCTCCATTCTCCTGACACGTAACAGCTAAATAATTGAGTACGATCCCCAGTGGCACGATTGAGACTTCAGAGCATGAGAAATCCATGACTCAGTTCCCTTTGGCTCATAGCCTTTTTCCGAACCTTCTCCTGTACCAAACCACAGAATTACTGAGCGTCTAAGTCCACACACAGATGGCAGCAGGGGAGCAGACAGTCCATGCTTGAGTAATGGGACATTATCTGTCTAGACTTTTAATGGCATCTTTCATCTTTTTTTAAGCGCTTAAAATTATTCATGTACATTTTCTTTTTCAAAATCTATAGAAGCCACCTATTTTGAAGTGTATACTACTTTGAGGTGAATTATTTTCTCTACATGGAAAAAACAGAAACCAAAGATTGTCGAAGATGCAAGTTCTCTTTCCTGCAGTGGTTTGGATCATCTATTCATGTGTGCATTCATTCCTTATTTGTTGTACGGACCCTGATGGAAGGCCCTTTGTGTGTTCCACACTGCACGAGATGGAGCTTGTCCACAGTGATGATTAAACCAGTGCACTCCTCCTTCATGGCATCTCATAGCCATTGTATGCCTTAATCAGAGTATCAGGCTGAGAACCACAGAACTAAGAATTGCGCAGGCAGGCACTTTGGTCCTGATTTTGGAGGGCAAAGAATATGCTTCCCTGAGGGTGGGGGCTGTGGAGCCAAGTCCTCAAGGGTGAGCAGGTGATTACTAAGTACAGTAAGCCATTCGGGGCTGGGACTCCCGCTAGGGAGAGGAGGAGGAGACATGGCTGGAAAGAGTTGCATAAAGACTTTGGTGATTGGAACCAGAGCATGGGACATGTGGCTAAGGATGGAAGAGACCCAGGGCCTGAGGAGCCACACTGAGGATTTGGGCATTTGTCCCAGGAACAGTGAGGAGCCATCTTGAGAGGTTTTATACTATATACAGAATGACGTGATCAGAGTCGCAGGTTACAAAGGTGATCCTGGCTACAGTTGCAGGGTGTGGTCCCTTCCTGTGGCAGGGTGGGTGTGGGGAGTCAGTACAGCTCTGGGGAGCAAGATATGGAAGAGGTAGTGGTAAAGGCAGATCTGGAGAGTAGGACATGGAGGTACTTGGTACAAAAAAGACAGCCATGGCCCAGCATGCATCTGGGCAACTCCTGCCTTGAGGAACACAAACCTAGGCCTTCTGATGGAAGGAGGCAAGAATTTGAAGGCAAGGAGGAATGGTCATGAATTCAGTGTCGGTTGGATGTGTTAGTTATACGTTGGAGCCACTGACATGAAGAGTATAGGTAGATGCTAAACCCTGCTGTAGTGATTACTCTTCTTTACTCTGTGCTCTGAATTATTTCTCAAGTCTGGGAAGATTAATGAGCCCTTGCCAAAGTGAGCAACTTAGTGTTCTCAGTGACAGTAAAACATGAGGAAGATCTATTGCATTTGGTGTAAAATAGAGAAAAGATTAAAACATGACCAACATGCCCTTCTTGTTCCTGCTTCTCACCCAGGCCAACTACACAGACCCCCAGAGCAAGCTGCGCTTCAGCTCCATTGAAGAGTTTTCCTATATCCGGAGGCTGCCCTCTGATGTCATCACAGGCTACCTGGCCCTGAGGAAAGCCACCAGCATCGTTCCCTGAGCCTGAGAAATGGAAGAAATGTTTGTGAAGCGGAAACTATTGCCATGACAGACTTTGGACTCGTCATTTTGTCTCATGGAAACAAACTCTTTCTGCCGTCAATCTGAAAATGTCAGTTCTGTGCCTTGGGAAGAATGTTTGGTTTTTAGTTTAAGAGTTTGGGTTTTTTTTCCCCCCTATGTTTTCTGTCCAAGTGTGATATTTCCTGTTGAATTAAATTATACTTCAGTTGTTGCCTTAAGTAAAATTGTTTGACAAGAAAATAGAGCATAATTATGCTTTAAATTTAGACCTAGTTAGTCCCCAAATTTTGTTAACAAGTTGTAAAGTGTTGTCCAACATTTAAAGACTGCAGTGAGTCCACAGTAGTTCTGGGTTATTTCTGATTCCAATGACTCTCTTTTAGAGCATGTTGAAGAGTATATGTAGTTGCTAGGGCCTGAAGCCCTACATATACTGTAGCATCTACATAGCAATCTACATAGGCTCTAGCATCTTCGTAGGCTCTAGCATCTACATATACTCTTCAGAATGCTCAGAAAAATCCCGAAATTGGGTCTCGAGAAGTTCACCCCGACTCCAGTGTCTTCTAAGGGTCTTGAACTATGAGAAACATTAATACTCCCTATCCAAGAAGGACTCTGTCTTGGTTCAGGGTACTGCCCTTTGGCTCCAGCCTATTCCAAAAAGCTTTGCTTCCCCATCTTACTGGGAAAAGAAGCAATTCCTTGCATCAGGAAAAGGATTGTGAAGATGACCCTAGCCTCACTGAGTCCTACTATTCTTGAATGAGAATACTAGGAACCTTAGGACCAGCTTATGGGCCAGCTGCTGTTTCTTTTAGGGATTATTAATTGTGCAGATACCCTTTCTGGGAGTTGCCCTGGCCTCCAACTTTCCTAGCCTTGGAGGAAAGAAAACCCCTAGGAGAATAGCCTTCCAGCCAGTGGCAGTGACTCAGAGCCTAATTTTCTTCCTCCAGGTTCAGCAACTGCAGGGTCCCTCTCAGTAGGAAGAGTACTGTGTAGCCTCCTCCTTTTCCTTGACAAAGCACCTGAGGTTACAGCTGGGGAGGAGGGGAACTTTTCTAAGCCACAGCCATCAAAACATTTGACTGGGCTTTAGCGTCAGAGTTGTGACAGGTTGGGGGCCTTGCCCAATTGAGTGGCTAATGCAGTGGGTGGTTTGGGATGGGTCAAGAATTGCACTTAAAAAGTGATTCTGTGAGGTTCACTCTTCCAATGAAATCAGAAGTCTCAGAAGAGAGAACTTGTTTCCCATGAGGACCCCCAGATGGGCATTTTCATCCAACCTGGATGCTGGATGGTGCCTCAGACTTGCCTTTTCAGAATCAGGTGGTCTAGTGGGTATACCCTAGGGAGGACTGTGAGCTGTCACTCCTGCCTCAGTTTCTAGGTGTATGTTCCATGAGCAAGTCAAGAGTCATCTGGGACCTGCTGCTAAAATGCAAATTCCTGGGCCACACCTGAGAGCTGACCAACTTGGGGGAGAAAGGCCCAGAAATCTGCATCTGATAGACCCTTGTGTGACCATGGAGTGTGAGAGCCACTGGCTGCCGCAGGCATAGTCAAGTTCCTAGACACTTTGCTTCCTTCTTTCCTGTTTCCCTGCCATGTTTTGTTTGTGGCCCTCATTTTGCTGAAGAGCCTTAAGTTCTAAAGACCAAGTCATTTCTCACTCCATCTTCCAGAAGGCCATGTGAGCCAAACCAAGCTCCAAGCTGTGAGTGACTGTTTCCAGTAATGAGTCCTCTCAGTTTGGGAATGTGCAGCTAATCTGCCCTGGGGGGAACAGCCCTTGCTGACCATGCTTTCACCTGGCGCTTCCGAGGTCTGCCTCTGATTGTACATAAGAATCACCTGTGAGGGGAGGGGAGGAGGGGGTGTTCTATACCAAGGAGATTTTCTGGGGTTTGCTCTTTATTAAGGTATTATTTATAATTTAGTAAGAAGTCATTAAATTCAGTGTGGTACAGTGAGTTTTTATCAACACATACGTAGTTGCATCTTCATCAAAATATATGAAGCCATGTGTGATGGTATACATCTGTGATCCTAGCACTCAAAGGTTGAGGCAATAAGATCTCAGGTTCAAGACCAGTCTAGGCTATATACTAAGTCTGAGGCTAGCTTAAACTAAGTACATGATGTGTGTATTTGTGTGTCTGTATATGTCTGTGTTTTGTCCATTTATTGTTACTATAATTAAGCCTGAGTCTGGCTAACTTTATAAACAGTTTAGATCAAAGTTTTATTTAGATCACAGATTTAAGAGCAATATGCTAGCATTAACTCAGCTTTAGTTAAGAGACTCTTCACTATGCCACATTGTAGAAGAAACAAATATGAGAGGAACCATCCTACCAAAACACAGGAAGTCAGAGAGAGACTGGCTCATTTCCTTTTGAGGACATGTCTCAAGACCTAAAGACCTCCCATTATGCTCCACCCCTAAATGGTTTTCTAACAATTGGCTTTCTCCCTTCTCTTCCTCTGACTAACAAGACCCTTCTATAGCTTGTATGACTCTGCTCATTGTGGTATGTCTAATGATTTGTCCCTCTGGTACCTGACCAGTTCTGGAGTTGACTGATAGGATCCAAAGGATAAACTTGGCCTTAAAAGTTAAAAATAGCTAGATATGAGAAATCACATATTTTTCTTGAGACTACACTGAAATCCAATCTACTTTGAAGTTCAACTCTTTCTTAATATCAATATCTGATGTGTGTCTCCATTGTAAAAGAGGAGAGAAATCTTGGCATATTTCGGAACTAGTGTTGGAGAACAGTCCTGGTGAGTGAGGAAGATCCACTGGCTAGTCTCCATGTGTCCATTCAGACTTTACATGTATTTTATAATTGATTTGGCACTTGATAGAAGGCTAACTGTATTTTCACTGAGAAGTCTCTTCTTAATCCATAACTTAGGAAGAGGTAACAAACATTTGATGCTATTTGCAAGGGTGTATATCTGGGAGTGTTTATTGAACTTGGTAAAAATAAAGTATAAGGAAAGAAATGGATGGAGTATAGAACTTGATCATGTCATCAAATGAGGCATATACCTTGCGAGAGATAGCAGATGATACTCTCTTATAAATGCATGAAATAATTATTGCAATTTATAATAATGTCCTACTGGAGGGAATTTGTGGGGCTCATTTGGAGCCTTATTCAAACGCCAAAAAAACTTAAAATAGTTTTGAAACAATTGAAAATTTGCTCTATTTTGGTATTTGATAAGAATTCTTATGAATGTTTTTAGTTGCAATGATAGTATTGTAATGTTACAAGAAAGGGTTCATAATTTTAGAATTATGAACTGAAATATTTATGCATGGAATGCTAGGCTATCTGGATTTTTTTTAGGATGATGTGGGAGAGAGGAAGTGGATGGGTGTAGTGTTGAAACAAGATTGGCCGTGAGTCAATTATTGTTAAAGCTGAATATAAGTATGGTGTTCTACTAGTCTACTTTTGTTTGTTTTTTAATTTCTCTGTAATTAGAATTTTTAATGCTGTTTTTATTACTAGAATTTGAGATGAAATTGGTGAGCTATATTAGTCTAAACTGGCTGATCAGTACTGAAAGTTTGAGAAATGCTGCCTGAATGGTGTGAGATCTTCAATCAAGGTAATCTTGTAAGGTGTAATTGAGTTATAACTTCCTAAAGCATCACTCAAAAACCAGGGTAGCAACAAAGAACCACAAGGAAAGTAAAGCTGTCCTTCAGATCTTTCCAATAGAGGTATTCATTATGTGTTCCATTGTCCTGGAAAACTGTAAGAGTTTGTCCGTGTTCTGTTGCTAAAAAAAAAAAAAAAAATACTTCAAGAAGGAAAGATTTATTTTGGCTTATAGTTTCAGAAGTTTTCATCCAAGGTGTGTTGATTCCATTGCTTGGGCTGAAAGAAAGACAGAAGAACATCATGGCAGTAAGAGCATGTGGCTGAGGAAGCTACTTACCTCATGGAGTCCAGGAAGTGGAAGAGGAGGAATAGCCAGGGACAAGATGCAACCTTTAAAGATGACTTGATTGATCTACTTCCTTGTAGCCGTGAACTCATCTGTGGATTAACCCATTGGTGAAGTTGGTACTCTAATGATCAATCACCTCTCAGTAATACCACAGCTGAGGACCAAGCCGTCCTCACCCGAGCCTTTGAGTTTCTTGTGGAGTATAAATAAACCGTACTAAAAAGGTTTTGGGATGCATTAGAATGGCTAATTATGTTTCACAAAAAACACCACTGAGCTTTTGCGCATAGAAAAAGATGGACAGCAATTGGGCCCCAATGCTTCTGTTATTGTTTCTCTATGCAAACCTTCCAAACAGCTAAGCAGAAAATCTGGGGAAATTCTACAAATGTGTAAGATCTGGTATAGTTCTCTTTTTTTTTTTTTTTTTATATTTTGGGTCTGGTTGTGGGGCCTGAACTCTGGGCCTGGGCACTGTCCCTCAGCTCTTCAGCTCAAGGCTAGAAGCCTCAAGGCTAGCGCTCTACCACTTGAGCTACAGCACCACTTCTGGCTTTTTTCTTTTTGCTTATGTGGTGCTGAGGAATCGAACCCAGGGCCTCATGCATGCAAGGCAAGCACTGTACCACTGAGCCACCTTCCCAGCCCCGACTAGTATAGTTCTTGAAAAGACTTTTTCTTTGAAAAGACCAGAAACTCTCATCTTTATCTCTACTTAGCAGTTTCCTTTCCAGCTGTTATTAGGGGAGATATCAGTCACCAGGGCCTTGGCTGGATCCTGAAAAAGCTCTTGCAATATTCCACACTGCAAGCCCAGGCCACGGCCTCCTGAATTCACAGTGGAAACACAGAAAGAAATCAGATCTTCACAGAGCTAAGCACAAGGACAAACTGTCAGTGTTCAAGAAACTACTTTCACTGAATTTCAACTCTTCTGAGGGAAGGAGACACAGCCCTTCAACATGCAGAAATGACTGCCAGACATAGAACCCGATGGCCTGGGTTTGAATTGTCTTCGACAACTGACTATAACTTCTCTGTTTGTTCATTTCTTTATCTGGAAAGTGAGCACCAAAACAGTGTCTAGTCTATGAGACCGTGATTGGCAGAATCAAATGATAAAATGTGAGCAGAGCATTAAACTGTCCCTTGCCATGTAGACTGTGAACACCTCTGGTGTGTGCATCACAAAGACACATCTGCTCCTGAATTGCACCTTCTGCTTATTTTTCTCATTTCTCATTTCTTCTAAAAACTCTTGGAGCCACATTTGCAACCCACTTGTAGTGGCTGAACAACATCATTTCCACGTTTTTCTTTATTTCTCTCAATTATTTCCCTAATCCTCATTGCTTTCCTTGGACATTATTCTTTATCCAGTGTATTTTAATAAATTGGCTCAATTTTTATGTGACAAAGGGAATATACAATTAGCTAAATAAGTAAATAAATGATCTATGATTGAGGCTGAGAGGGAGAAAGGGGATAAAGGAATTAGAGTACCCAAAGTCCTTAATGGATGAGCTGCTCCAGAATAAAGAAGGAGCTCATAGAAGCTACTTGCTGGTCCTCTTAAAAATCATTATTACTGCTGGGCATGGTGATATATTTCTGTAATCCCAGCATTCATTCAGGAAGTAGAGACAGAGTGCAAGGTCAGATTGGACCTTGTAACAGATTCAAAGCCAGAGTCTGCTGTGTGAGACCCTATCTCAAAAGCAAGGACTGGTGTGAGAAGAGGGCGTGTCTCACTTGGTAGGCCTGCTTGCTTAGCATGCTTGAGGCCCTGGGTTCTGCCCAGTACTGCAGAACAGAAAACAAAAACAAATCATTTATGTTTTCTTTGGTACTCATCATATATACTACCTTTGTTTGTTTCCCATAAAATGTTTCCCTTAATCAAATAATAAAACCAAATAAAATAAAAACCAAAACCAAAAGGAGTGTGTACTTGTTTAGGTGTCTGGGCTGAGTAGGAAAATGAAACATCCTCCTTCCCGCTGTAAACCCAGGACTCCTGAGTCCACCTGGTGTTCTTCCATGACTCGGTGGCTGCTGTCCACTGGTGCTTCCATTCCAACTGCAGACAAAGCCTTTCCTGGGAAGAGGCATTGTTTTCCTGGCCGACAGGATGCTGACTGCTGACAGGTGCACAGTATGTCCCAAACACAGCACTGTCTCCACGTGGGGTCAGGAAGATGAGTCACATCCACCAGCCCTGGTGACTTGGAGCCTTGGATCTTTCCACAGTCAATTCGGGAGGCTGTGGCCTGGGCTTGCAGTGTGGAATATTGCAAGGGCTTTTTGCAGGGATCCAGCCAAGACCTTGGTGACTGATATCTCCCTTCATAATAACTGGGGAGGAAACTGCTGAGGGAAGATAAAGATGAGGGTTTGCAGTCTTTTCAAAGAAAAAGTCCCTTCAGTAGTAACAGACCTTAAAAATGATGCTCAAAACTACATTTGTATGCTTTCCCTCAAGCTTCTTGCCAGAGTCTCTGGGAGGTTTTGGAGAAAAATAGTAACCTAAGGATTTGTGCCCTGGGGTACATTTTTCTCTGAAATTCAAAGCTGCCATTTCTCCCTTGTAGAGTGGCAGAGGACCAACACTTCTGACTCAGCCTGAAAGGCAAACCTGAATTCAGGGAGAAAGGCCAGACAGGACTTGTTGGGGATGGAATATGTAAGTGCATATTGGGTCTAAAACAACAAAAACAAGTTCCCATTGAAGCATTACCTGGTCCAGAGCCCTTCTCAGAGAAGAACAGGCTGGGAAAGATGAATATTCCCTCAAAGAACAATCATTTTCCTAGGCCTAGGGCAAGGCTCCTCTTTCATTTGTAAAACAACTTTTATTTACTTACTTTCCTTCTTTATCTTTCTTCTCTATTATTTGCAGTACTAGGATTTGAACTCAGGGCCTTGCATTTCCTTGGCTGGCACTCTTATCATTTCAGCTATGCTTCCAACCCTGCTTTGTTTTTTTGTGGGTTCTTTAGGAGATGGAATCACAAACCATTTCTACCCAGGCTGGCCTTGAAATGTGATCTTCTAGATCTCTACCTCTTGAATAGCTAGGAGTACAGATGTCCAGCCCTTCTCTGTTTTAACAGAAGTTTAAACCTATTGCACAAAGCATCAGATTTGGATATGGAAAAAGACTCCTGATCTGTAGCTAAGTGGATAGCAAAATCATAGACCTTTAGATGAGTCCTGTTGTGGTTTGATGTACATGCCCAGTTCATGTACTAGAGTCACCCCCTCATGCAACAGTGTTGAGGGGTGGGACATTTATGAGGTGACTAAGCCCCAGGGTCTCTGTCATCATAATGGATTCATGGATATGGAAGGAATGGGATTTGTATCTGGAGAGTGTGTTCTTGAATAAGAAGGATAAGTTTGGCCCCTCCCCCCACTGTCTAGTGTGTCTTCTCTTCCTTTCCATGAGAAGACCACATAGTACCAAGTCCTGCTAAGTCCTTGCTCTTAGACTTCACAGCCTCCAGAACTATGAGCAAAATAAACTTCTATGGCTTATAGCTTATTGAGGATGTGGTAATCTGATATAGTAGCAGAAAACAGATTAAAACAAATCCTTTTTTTTCCTATGAACATTTAAATTAAAAACTTCAATAGAACATTTAAATAGAAAATAGAAAAAGAATGCTCTGCTTGTTTTCTTAAGATACAGGCTTTTATTTCAGTGGTGGGGGGGGGCGAGGAAGATATTGGGAGTTTTGAAATCAGGACCTTGTGCTTGCTAGGCAAGCACTCTACCTTTGACTCGTGCCCACAGAAATTTTGGGTTGTTTTATCAGGTAGAGCCTCAAGCTTTGTTGCCTGTGTGCAGCTTCAGACTAGCATCCTCTCATCTTCACCTCCCCACATAGTTGAGATTACAAGTGGGCACTACCATGCCTGGGTCCATATGCAGACTTTTTTGAGATTGTCATACAAGGCAATGGATGAACAATGTTAACCTGCTGAAGACCACACAAAAAAAGACACTTTTCCAAATACCTGGTCATAGTCACTAACAAATTTGAAACAACTTTCAAATTCTAAAGAAATGAATTGTTTTCTTTTAGAACTAGCTCAACTCATAATTAACTCTTTCTGCTTTCAGATACTAGGGGAATATCTGGTGGACTGATACCACTGTTTTGTAGTTAAACAAAAAGATCAGGGGGGCTGGGAAGGTGGCTCAGTGGTAGAGTGCTTGCCTTGCATGCATGAGGCCCTGGGTTTGATTCCTCAGCACCACATAAGCAAAAAGAAAAAAGCCGGAAGTGGCGCTGTGGCTCAAGTGGTAGAGTTAGCCTTGAGCTGAAGAGCTGAGGGACAGCGCCCAGGCCCAGAGTTCAGGCCCCACAACCTGACCCCCCCCCCTAATAAAAAGATCAGGGTTGAGGCTACCACTTAGTGGTAAAGCACCTGTCTAGCATGCTTCAGACCCTGGGCCCAATGCACAGCACTGCCCCAAACAACTAACAAG